TTACTGAAATTTAATTTATTAGGTAAGTAACATTTACAAAAAACATCTTTCTGTTAACACAAGTTTGTTTTGTATCTAATAGAGCAACGCCCAGAAAACACAAGAAGATAAGGAAAGTTGCCAGAAGTGATTCCAATGCAGCGTGACTGACAAATCAGAATTTCTATGAAAGGAAAAAAACATCTGGAATTCCCCATCTGTGGAAATAAGCAATTGCACTGCATACAGCACTTATAAATGAAACTGGTTAAAGCTGCATTAGATAATTTTTTTGCTCAAACATTTCACTATATCCCAACAGTAGTACATGAGACAGATAATCTATGAATGAAAACAACCAATCAGAGCCGAGAAAGATATAAATATGCTTTGGGTCGGTGGCTTGAAGATAGTTGAGTCTCACTCCCAGAGTCCCTAAGCGTCTGTGTTTGATGCCCTGGGAATGAGACTCAACAATCAGTTATCTTTCACGGCGTGAGATTCTCTGTCTCGTGTACTACTGTCAAGCTATAAGGAAAGTTTCAGCAATTTTATTACCTACTGAAGCTTTAAATCTGTAAAACGTGATTCTTTGTGAAACACTGTTTACCTCTTTTACATGTCAGGTCTTTTATATCTTGTTTAAATGCCTTTTATGACTTTAAAGTTGTTGTTGAAGGTGATGTACGAATGTGCTTGCCTTGCCAGAGTTCATCAGGTCAAAGTATTGCAACATTTTCTCTCTTATTTTCATCATTCCAGTGTTTTCAGCTGAACCACGGGTGCACATCTCTTGTTGTTGGCGCATCTATATTAAAGTTTTCTAAACCGTCAGTGTTAATTAATGTGCACTGCCCCCTATAAATAAACACATACACATACACCCTCATCACTCCGCCACACAATTCCCCGCTAATTAACTTCCACATTCTGCAGAAAATAAAGCCCACAAAGTGTCAACATACACATTCTTCCCTTCAGTTCAATTTGACTCCCACAGTGCTTTATGGAAAGGTTCTGCATGTGGGCGTGTATGAAACCTTATATGAACCAAAAATAGTTTGACACAAGTTACCCGCAAGCCCTCCAGAAAGACCTTTGCTCCCACCATAGTGCTTCTGTGTGTTATTAACAGTCTGCATGTACTATAATCTGAGGACAGCGTGCGTACAGTACGATACATTTCCACTGAATTCCTTACAAATTATAATGCCGGATGACAAAAAATGTATGTGTGTGTGTGTGTGGACTTACCCAGTATGAGTGCAAGCAGCAGAGCAGCACAGAGACACACACACATGGCCAGTGCTATCCTGTAAAGACGACTGTTGCCCCTCTCGGGTTTAAGCCCACCGCCACCTAAACGTTCCAGTTCCATGACTTACTGTATCACACACATAAAAACACACACTCATGCAAAAAAAAAAAAATATCTAGCTTTCAGATAGGGGAAGCTTCAGATAAACTGAAAAGAAAGCAAAAAAATTTGTAGAAAAATTGGATTTAAAAAATTGACATTTATGGATAAAATTACATCCAAATAGTTATAATATCTTCCAGAATGGACACACTTCCTCTCTATCTCCTGGTCTCTTTCCCAGTTTAACAGCACATACTTTATTCACTTTCCCAGTCTATCTGCAGCTACTCTAACTTCACCCAGGCTCTTCAAACTGTTCCTCCCTCCCTCATCACTCCTCCTCTCCCCCAACACTCCTCCTCTCCTCTCCTCCCTCCCTCCAGGACAGAAGGGACCAGGCCTCCCAGTGATGAACATGAGATAATTTAATAAAATCACTGACTAAAACCAGAACATTATCTGTGCGTGTTATAGCGGAACCATTAGAAGCGGCGTACATGTGAAATGTTTGTGTGTGCACTATATGGGCGTCTAATCTCTTGTGCAAAGCAGCAGGGTGCTCTGCTCCAAACATTTATCAGATCAGACAGTCAGTAGACCAGAACTAAATTAGACTCACACACACACACACACACACACACACAGAGGCCACTGATTACGATCGATTAATCTGATGATGATGATGACGTCGCCGCCTGTAAAAACACATCAGTGTTTTTGTCAGAATGCATCGATGGTTTCTTTGAAGGGACAGAGGTGGCGATGGCCGTGACACCACAGCTCCTGGTTGGTTCTCAACCCCCCCACCCCCCCACCCACCCTATGTGGTGAGAACCCTATCCGCACGTGCTCATTAGGGTTTGGGGCGTAGGCCACAAAGTCCTTATATAGACGTGACTTTCCGTGCTGCTAAAACACCCATTCATCAAGCGGACACATTGACCACGACGCTATTGTTCACCATTGTGACTCACAATCACTTGTGTCCTGTTTTTATTCTTATTGTTTAACATCTCAACTGGGACCTTTTGCTCCAGTTTTGATTGTCTCTGTTCCTCTTTTAGCGTCTAATTTTCAGTCATGTTAGCAGTGTGGCTTTATTATGGCCTGTCAGTCAGTCCACCACTTTGGTGCAGACTGAAATACACTACTCACAAAAAGTTAGGGATATTCGGCTTTCTGATGAAATTTCAGAATGTACATAAAATGCACTTTAACCTTTCCAGGTGATCTTAATTTGACCTTCTACTTAAATGCCCTACTTTCATGATATAATATCACTGTAGCATCAACTTTTTACATTTTCCATAAATGTCACCCGAAAGTGGAATATCCCTAACTTTTTGTGAGTAGTGTTATCTCTAATGGATTGCTATGATTGATTTATGTGAAGTGATGCATTTTGGGACAGACATTCATGATCCCCAGAGGTTCTATCCTACTGACTTTGGTGATCTCTTGGCTTTTCCTCTAGCGCCACCAACAGGTCAAAGTTCCGACTTATTCAGTGAAATATCTCAATATCTACTGTGTGGCTTTTGTCAAAATTGTGCACTTATGTTCAGGGTTCCCAAATGATGTGTTCTTATGACCTTCCCTCAAGCATGTCATTTTCTACAGACATTCATGTTTCCCACTGGATAACTCGTGCTGACTTTGGTGATCATCGTGAGGTTGCCATTTTAGCTTTTTAGTAAAATATCTCGATGAATATTTGATAGATTTCCATAGAATTTTGACTCTGCAGAGGATTCCCACTGACTTTTCCTCTAGCGCCACCAAGTGAAATATCTCACCATCTACTTTATCGAGTGGCTCCAAATTCTGTACTAAAAATCACAGCTCCCAGACAACATATCCTAATGACTTTTCCTTTAGCGCCACTAAAAGGCTGACAATTTGGTTTACAATGAAATGTCTGGACTACTTTGAGATTTGACATTTTATACAGACATTCTTGTTTTTCACAGCATAAATCCTGCTGACTTTGTTGATCCCGATTTTTATTTTTTTTTTGTGCAGTGAGGTTTACATTTTTGTTTTACATATAAACTATTATTATTATATGCTATTGGGTGGATTGCCTTCAAATTTCAGACATTCATGTCCCCCAGGGGAAGAATTAAACTTGGTATTTAGTGCTAAACAGCAAATGTTAGCATGTGGAAGCTCTAAAATGAGAAGCTGAACATGGTAAACACTATATCCGCTAGAAATAAAGCATGTCATGTGATCATGGTAGCACAGCGGTAGACTCAGTCCTGTTAACACAGAGGAGGTCACGGAGTTAATTCACGGGCCCCATCTCTCAATATGAAGCTGACAGTCAGAACATGCCTCCCTCCCTTCTGCCCTCTCCATCATTCCCCCCCATGTCCGTTTACCCAAACATCCCTCCTGGCTGTCATTAGCACGAGATAAGAAACAGAAACACACTGGCAATCTTTTCACACAGATTAGGGGAAAGAAAATCAGCCTTCAAAATGTGTTATCTGAACGCAAACATACACACGCAAAGTCGCCAACCTTTGCATGCAACAAGGCAACAAGGTCCGATCCTCCACATACTCCCCCAATTATTCAATGAAAAAGTCTCCCAAAAGGCAACAATTTTGAACCTGCTGACAGAGGAGTCTGCTCATCCTTGGTAAACACACCTCTGTGGCTAAGCTGAAGGCTGTTCAGTATTTATACGTCTGTGGGAAACACCCTTCCAAATTACCATGTGTCGTCTCTCACGCTCACACACTCAGGAAATGTAATCACTGCACGACTCCCTTGAAAACACAAAATTAACACTGCGGTCTGGAGCGCTTACTAAAAGTGTAGCATGCGTGCTTTTGTTCCAGTGTCTAAGGAAGACAATGTGCCAATGCGCTGGGAATATGTCGGGTATAAAATTAGAAAGGCGCTCTGCAGTTGAAGCAATCTCTTGAGAGGGAACATCGGGTTACCTGAATGTTTGAGAGAGGCAATTTTAAGCACGCCTTTCTCCAATGATATAAAACATAAAAGGATGTTGAACTATTAGTGTGCAATACAAAAAAAGGAAAAACTAATGGGGGCCATAAAGTCAATAGGAATTAACTTCACATCCATTTCTTGATTCATGTGAGTGGGCATGTAATATAAAGATTTAACTGCACAGTGAACACAAAGAAATGATCACTAAGAACTGGATTATGGATTGTTTTGTGTTCTGTTTTGAACTCTAACATGTATTTAACAGTACATGCCTCTTTTCCAGTGTACACATACTTCATACCTGCTTGTAGTTTATACCAGAGGTTCCAAAATGTTTTTATATCATGCACATTAGATCACAGAATGCCAATTTAATAGGATTTTGTCTTAAGGAATCCCCTCTGAGTATTTTTTTAATTTTAAGTTTGCATTAGCCCTGTGATAGACATTGCCCAGTGGTGTATCTTATCTCTTTCACAATGTGCGCTAGGATAATCTCTCTGAACAGGAAAGGTAATCTGTGGTCAGAATTTTTATTAATTCGCTAAAAAGGTTCAAATTTCATAAATCCCTTCTGTGACCTTTTATTACCTCTTGTAATTACATTCAACACCACAAAGAAATTTAACAAAATGTTTTCTGCTCCAGTGCCCCAACATTGGAGTGGACTATAACAAGTAATAATAAGACAATACAGTTAAACAGAACAAAATTATTTTATTAATTAAGAACGGCTTTAAAGAAAGCTCTTAAATAAAATTAGTCCTTTATTCCACAGTTTTGACAAATCAGATCACAGACAGTGACAGGCCGAGAGAATAAAAATGAAACTTACACTTTGAGAAAAAGGTGGGAAAAAAGTTTTCCCACTACAATGCCCGAGGAGAAGACACTTGAAGTTGTAGGATACCCACCTTTAAAAAGGTTGCAATGACAATCTATTTAATTAACAACCTTGTGTATTTGCTCATAAGGACGCAGTTCTTTTAATTTGAATAATAGGTAGCAAAGTTTTTCCAACAGTGATATGGAGTTAAAGATGTAGGTGTTGCCATGCGTTTGCTGATAAAATGAAGGCTTTTTAAACTTTTTTTTATCCAAAGATGGCTTGGATTCGTTTTGTTCTCTCTGCAACACACTGAAAGCCGAGGCAGACAAAACCTCCCTGTGGTTCCAACAGAGGAAATATGGCATTTTGGAATCAATCCCTTGAAAAATCATAACCGTTTTCTGTCCAACTTACACATACACAAACACAGTACAGATATCAAGATTTGGAAAGATTGTGCAGTCTTTGTAAACGGTCGCATAGGACAGTGCTTTACAGCAAGTGCATTATTTATTTGAATATGTGCTTTTGTGTATATGGCGGCAACAAGGTGGAAGTCAGTTGTTTAAAGTTTTCCCTGGTGGTCCAGTAAAGCGTTAAAGGCAGAGTAATATTCTGCTCAACAGTCTCCACAAATTGGGCTGTACTGCTGGGTAATGCAGTCCCCCTGTATGTTCACAGTTTAATGGTCCACATGTGTCAAACACATCCTGAGAGAACAACTCTCAGTCCACATGGGGGTTTATTCATTTAGTTTTTGTCTTGCCAGGGCAGCTAACCGCTGTGGCTACCGCGCCGTGACCATCCACAGGCCCAGAGCCACGTTGGCCGCCAGCAGGGCGCTGCCTGCCAGCAGCAGGAAGAAACCAATCAGCTCGCGCTTTTGACGGTCTGTTACCACAGTAACCAGCGTGGCCTCCAGCAGGGCGTTTAGCATCCACTGACCGTCGAGAGCGAAGCACGGCACTGAGTTTACGACTGCTAACGCGCCAGAGAGGGACACCACATATCTGAGACACAGCAGGGTTAAAGATAATACACACATAATGCACACACTTTTTATTTGTTCACCCATCGAGAGGTAAAAACCCAAAAGTTCATTTTTAAACTTGAAAGAATCTCCTCACAAGGTCTGTTTAGTGGCTGCTCTAGAGCTTCCTAATTCGACCCAGTGGAGAGATTGTTTCCCACTGATGTTTCCCTAGTGTACTACCCACTCTGACACTGTGCTTGACGACTGCGTACACTGTGCCGAGTCGCAGGAAGTGACTAAAAATATCTTAAAAGTGAGAAAATAAAGTTGCAGCAGCTTTACAGCTAACTGTTCAGTCATTTTAAATAATCCACAGTTCAACAAACAAATCATAAAGAAAACATAACATTAATATGACATTTTGTTCACAGACAAAGAGCTTGTGTACAGATAACAACTGCATCGTCTACATATAGCATGAAACATGGCCAATACTAGCTACCACGCAAGCTACAATACTCTTTAGTTTCTTCTTCATTTTGAGGTTTACGGCAAAAAACTGGTTTTGTTTCAAGTTCGCCACCTCAACTTCTTCTACTACTCTGTTTATGTAGCCTATACCATCAATTTCTGAAGAAACTACGCTGGAGCCTAGTTTATTTTCTCCAAACCAGTTGATGGAAACCCTGACCTGGTTCTGAATCACACCGTCGCACAGAACGTGTAATCTTTTGCCATTTCTGACATTCAGGAAGAGCGGTATCATCAGCAAAACATCAGCAAATGAAGAAGAAATCTAATAACTGAAAGTAATCAAGTAACGGTACTTTAATATTGTGATACTTGGATTAGGTTGACATTAGCAATTGTATCGAATTCCCAACACTGCGTCTGACTTGGTCTGGTATGACCAGAAACTAATGTTGGCAAATGCAAATTACTGGGTCAGTTAGTCAGAAATAAATAAATATGTTTACAGGCCAATCAAAATTGTAATGATATATAACCGATTTAAAGTAACATTTGAGCAAAATATCATTTAGACATCATGCAGACAGTGCTTTGTCAACCAAGGACATACATTACTCTTCTATCCTTTTAAAAAGTAACATCATTTGTTTAAATTTTGAGTGAGTGACTTTGATAGAGGAGTAGTATTCACTTTTCTAAATCTACCCCCTGACACATCCATCATCTGATTAAGACTGGAGTCCTTTAAACATGAAAGGATACTTGCAGAAGGTCTCTAAGAAGACGGGCAGATCCAGGTGGAGGAAACCAAAGCGGGGCACAAAGTTGGTCAGACTCACTGGGAAAAGACAAAACACGGGAGGTGTTACAGTCACACTGCAGGAATTTATACAAACACCATGTGGTTGTAGAGGTCATAATCATAGAAATATCACCGGTTTGATCCATTCAACACCGTCTTAATCGGCAGCAGACTAAAGAACAAGCCTCTTCCTGCACATGTATTGTACATCACATAGGACTGCAGAGTCAGCTCAACACCTACGTTGTAAATAGCAATTATATGAATATTACAGATACAAGCTCCTCCTAGGGTGGGCAAAAAGTATCATGTTGGAACTCTTACACTGAAATTACAGCATTTTTTGCTTTAAATTAATAAAAGGACTAAAAAGGACAAATATTATTTAAAAATTTTGAGTGATTTATATTTATACAGGAAGAAGGAAGGTGAATAGCAGCATATCCGCCTGTACGTACCAGAGTACTGAAGGTGCGGCGGATACCCCACGAACAGCATGTGTGTGTTGGGCGGGTGTGTGACACGGATGAAGCGGGTCTGGTTCTCCAGAGAGGGCGTAACGCAAACGCTGGCAGTGTGGGAGTGTGCGGTGCAGTCGTCGTCGGTACGACACACCCACGTCCCCGTCACCATCTTACGCACCGGCATACAGGCGTACTGCGGCCACAGGATTACAGAGGGAATGCAAATATTAGAAATGTAAGGGAAGTCAGCAGGAAATAAGGATTTGATCCTTTTTTTTTTTTTACTTGTTGGCTTTGTTGTTTTTTGCTTTGTCACTTGACGATGTCTGCTATCTTGTTTTCTTTCTCAGATATCTCCATTCAGGATGGACAACTTTTAATGTCGCACTTCTTATTCTTGTCCATTCATTCCAGTGGTTATCTTGCTGGCAGTCGTTTTACATGACCCTGACCTGTTTCTGAATCACATCGTCGCACAAAATGTGTAATCTTTTGCCATTTCTGACATTCAAGAAGAGCAGTATCATCAGCAAAACATCAGCAAATCAAGAAGAAATCTAAAAGGACACTTGTTTTATTTTTTTCTCATATTTAGAAGGATATAATGTTAAAATATGGTTTTGTGTATATTCATAATTGTTCTTTTTTGTGCATTAAACTCATTTGGGTGGAAACAAAGTGGCACAAAAGGGGAATAAAAGGAACTGAATTGAATAAAGGAAGAAATATAAATATGCTTGACGGTCTAAAAGGGTTGGAAACATGCTCACATGCTGAAGTAGTCATAAAAAGTCCCAGCCTATGTGTGTCTGCATGTGTCTGTGTGTCTGTGTGTGTCTGCGTGTGTCTGCGTGTGTGTGTCCGAGTGTGTCTGTGTGCGTCACCTCTCTCTCTCTGCTGTTTTTGCCCTGTGGTTTCATGTAAGAGAAACAGAGGTCTGTCAGGCTGTTGTTGCTGCAGCAGTCCATCGTTCCATCCAAACGCTTGAAAGCTACAAGAGAAAGAGAGGGGGAAAAAGATAAATGGATGAAAGAGAGAGAGAGAGAGAGAGAGAGAGAGAGAGAGAGAGAGAGAGAGAGAGAGAGAGAGAGAGAGAGACAGAGAGAGAGAGAGAGAGACACTGGTTGATTAGATTTGTGTGTCAGGCTGGAAGAGTGAAAGTCACGATAACAGCTCGTGTCACATTACAAACATAAAGATGGATGTCACTGAGGTTTTTTTTTTTTTTTACTCTCTGCTCGCACCAGATGATTAGACAAGGACACAGTATCACACACTTTGTGACATAACAGAATTATCCTGCTGACTCCTCATACGTCACCGGGACTGCTGGCTGTGACTGTTTGCATTAATATGCACATTAATGCAGCAAATCCTGAATCTTCAAAATCATTCAAATAATGCGCTAGTAGAATCAAAAAGCTGAAGACAGACACAGAAAGCATATAAATGTAAAACTTGTGTGGCTAAAAGAAATATCTATATTATTATTATTATAATAATTAATATTATTATTATATATACACACTACTCACAAAAAGTTAGGGATATTCCACTTTATATATTCAATTGAAAAGTATATTTTTGGCATTTATCGCTAAATTATGAAGTCTGATGTGTGCCACTGGAATAATTATAGACCACAGAGAAAGAACAGGAGGTCTGATTGGCCAGCTGTTGAGCTCTGACCTCACACATGACTCCAGTTTACAGCTGACCAATCACAGCTCCCGTTGCTGCTCTGTTGGTTTGACCAGATTTAATTATTAGACGGCACAAAATGCAACAAATTAAATGTTAAGCAGGAGACGTATTCATTTATTCTTCTCGCTGCAGCACACTCACCTCGACCGTGGGCCCAGCTGGGCTGCAGGCTGGCGACAGGGACACAGTATCCAGTCTGTGGGGTGTAAGAGAGGTGAGACAGGCAGCTGCTCCAGTCCTCCACTCCCCGGACCGGACAGTCCTCCAGGCCCGTCACTATGTCCCCAACAGAGAGACCCCGGGGACCGTCAGCAGCAGAGCCCTGCACGAAAGACACAGGCAGATATAAAAAATAAAAAAAACTGGTTAAAATGGCCCGAAGGTCACACAAACAAAAGGTCAGACGGTTTTATGGTTGGAATTCTGCAATCTTGCATTAGTTAGGAGAATCTGGGTAGGGACAGGGATTGACAAAAACACTTTCCCTTGCCAGCTACTGCCAATGAGTCCTTGAGCAACAGACAGCAACCAACTGTGGCTGAATTGCAATGCTAACTGTATGAATGTGCAGGGGGCAGTTACGCAAAATAGAATTTCATGGCCCGTCAAATTAGCTGAGATAAATAACGCTTATTAATGACTGTGCCATTGGAGAACATGCTATAGCACTGAAGCATTGACTTCTTTAATGACAGACAAGTGCTGATGCCCCTCAGCGATTATTACATTTCATTGCCCAAAGGTCAATTGACCGATAAAGCGTTCCTCGCAGTGTAACTCTGTGAGTCACGAGGTTAAGTGTTGAGATAATAAAACGTTGATTCATAACTGCACTGACCTGGACAACCTCGGTGACCAACGCCCCGCCGCCGGTGGAGTACGCAGGGAGGAGAAAGAGGGGCAACAGGAAGAGGAAGGCTAATGCTGCCACACACAGAACAAAGTTGTGCCACACTCCTAGAGAAAGAAAACAGAAACATTACTTCCTTTTAAAGAAGATAGATATATTTATTATCAATTATCACTGTTGTTTAGGTGGGTCTGGGGGGGGGTCTGGGTTTTGGGTGAGAGATATATGTGATTTAGTATGGATGGTTTATTTTGTACACTCAGTGAAAGATTATTATTCCTGAAATGTCAGAAAGTACAAGGTGGCATACAACGGCTTTAAACTTCTCAAATATAACCTTAAAAACTGGAAAAAATATTGGAAAGATCATAGCCTGATCAAGTTACCCTTCCAAAAGTGTCAGACTGAAGCTCCTGAAACAGAAACACCAGGATTGTATACCAGACTCCTGACAACCATTGTGCATGTTCGGACTGTAGGATGTCGTGGCAAAACAGTAACCGCTCGTCACTAAAAATAACTCCATACCATCTGAATTATGCAAGATGACACAGTCGGTCTCCCAAAATCACATGAGGGAAAATTTCTCATTGCCTGGTGAGGTCAAGGCACAAATTTAAAAAGGTCTTATTTTTCCTGAAATCATGCAAAGCCATCAATCAAAGGTGGTGACAGCAGCATCAAGGGTCCGGCTACACTTTGGTAAGGAGAAAATTAATAGCTGAAGATAGTTTGAGGAGATCACATATATATATATATATATATATATACACATACATACATACATACATATATATATATATATATATATATATATGTGCACTGTATAGGCCTGAAATTAGAAATAAAGTCAATATCGAATATACTCAATGTTGACTTTACACAGTAAACAAACTATTAAAGTTGCGTCACCTATCTCACCAGGAGTAAATAATAAACATGTTATGTGAGAGAACCCCCCTGCGTACAGAGAGCTCTCCACTGTGGAGAGAGAGACACGGAGATAAATAAACACAGCATGCTGTTATGTCACCACTCCCCCGATGGGAATAGCATCTTCCTCTCCCTCTTCCTCTCCCCCCTCTCTCTCTCTCTCTCTCTCTCTCTCTTGGGTTTGTCATATGACTTGATTGGCCGTCTCAGTTTTGTGCCTGCAGTCACCCACCGCAGACTTTTTCTTGTCACATTAAGCAGAGGAAAAGCCTGGAGGAATATCTATCTAGTTAAAGATACAGATGGTTTTACAGCAGCTCTTCACTGCCCCCCCAAGGCTCCTAACAGCATAAAGACAGTATCATTCAGTAATTTGGCATTTTCATTAAGTGTCATGCTCCTACACACTCTGACGGCTGACTGACACATTAGGATCTCTAGTTTAGAGTCTCTAGCCACCAAATCATCCTGATGTCTGTTTCCCGTTTAGGGTTACCACTGCATTTCCCTGACAAATATACTGACAAGAGGCATAAAACATGGTAAGTTTACAAGCACTGAAATGATGAATTCCTCAATAGCTGTCAGCTCCTCATCTACAGTTAATCTCCGGTCGGCGACATAGACATGGAAGCAGGGAGCCACACTAAGGCTGCACAATTAATCAAAATATAATAGATATTGCAATATGCTTAAGTGCAATATCCAAACCACAGAGGATGCAATTTCTGAAAGAAGTAAAAGGTGACAAAACAGCAGTATAACGGAGTACTGGAGTGCTGCAGAGAGGCCCTGGCCTACAACACATGTTCTCCAGATGTAAGAAACCAGGTTTGTTTGGTACAGACCACAAAAAATGTCCCATCATCATGATTTTAATAGTCAGTATCATGACGTTGTAGGAACTTTGCATGTTTAAACATTGTATGTATGGTACCTGCAATGATGATCCCCATACTGAGCCTATAGCAACAGGAAGACTGACCTTTCAGTACAGAGCCTTTATAACAAAACTATTATATACTTCTTTATAACAAACTGACAGCATGATTAATAATAACAGTGTATAGTCCAAAGTCAGAAGTTCACTCTTCATAGTGGGCATATTTTGCCCTTTGATCTCTAGCAGCATGACTTCACTAGACTTTACATCAAACCTTAGCAAAAGTGTCATTAGTTTTAACTTATTATATGTTGCTAGAATCAGTCAGAGAAAGAGGGATCTGTTCCTTTTCTCTCTCTGATCTCTTAACTCTTAATTATTGAGTTAATATCATATTATTTCTACAGTAATTTGTATCATGTAATCGTTTTTCTGCTGCTTCAAACTGCCTCTTGACTGCTTTCTAATCAAAAACACCAACATTCTTCTTCACCAGACTGCATTGAAAATATTCAGCCTTTAACCGGCTCCCCACGGTGGTCCGTAGGAGACATCAGTCACATTCATGCGTGAATAACTGCCGGCTCCACCAATCAATTCATTAAAATCTAATTTTCTTAATTGCAGAGTGAAATGATTTGATGTGAAGCAGCTGTCTGGTGCTCAGATATAAAAGACCTCAGAGTGACCTTCACTGACACTGGCAAAACAGGAATGACTATTTGACAAAATGCTTGAAATAACTGTGATTAATAGCTGCGATCACATAAGCTGGCAAAATAATCAGGATTATTATCTTACCGGCACAGAAGATGCGGAGCTGCTGAGTGGGGGATATGAGGTTGAGGTGTGTGGTGAAGAGGTCCACAAACGCACCGGGGTACACCACAAACACAAACATGCCGAAGCCGTTTACTCGTACTTGCTCCCTGCCGGGGGTAGAAAGATATTCCACATTAGAAAAGGTCAGAGAAGGAAACAGAGGCCACATTAGAGGCCCTGAAAACGTATTTCCCTAAACAGCTTCTTACTGTGAGTGATGGGATACTGCATGAACGGCTTCATTTCAGTCAAATGAAGCCGTATGTTCAAACTCATACACAAATATTTGGAAAAGTTGAATGAATGACACCAAACCAGGTTGAAAAATATCTCGTGTGTGCAGCTAACATGACTTGTTTTCAAACTAAATTAAGCAAATGACAAAGCAGTATTCCTTTAGTACCCAAATAAATGTTAATTTACGTATTTATCCGACATTTTTGTTGAGTCTCTTTTTTAATTAGAATTCTATTTGTTAATGTTGTGAAAAGGTGCTTGTTCTTCTGACTCCCTCTAGGTACGTACAAAAACAATAAACAGACTACAGTTAAACTGAACATATATGTGTAAAATAGTATGCCACCAGCAGTTGGTTTTAGCTGAACATCCTGCGCCGCTATGTAAATAGCTGTTGATGTTTGTCAGGCTGCTGCAAAAGAAACATTTACACCTTTACCGCTGTACGTTACATAAAAAAAAAACACTGGTGAGATATTTGCAAATAAAATCAGACGATACTGGGCCCTTATTGTAGGCCAAAGAAACCATGAAAAGCATAAAAGCGTTGAAATAAGATGTAGAGCCTGTGAAGCAGCAGCCGAAAAACATCACAAAATATCTGACATGGACACACATTGGTCACCTCCCATTTTTTTCCTATCCTAATAGCCATTAGATGCTCTTTGCTCTGCCGGTTGTCATGGTAACAGATTGTGTTATGGAAACGTGTGTACGTGTGTGTGTGTGTGTGTCTTACCTCAATGCTGCCACGGCGTGGCCCAGCTCATGTATGACTCCGCTGAGCAGCAGGGCAGTGAAGAAGTAGGCCAGTTGACTGGTGGGCAGATTGACACCAGGGACCTGAAGACACACCCAAGACCAGAAAAAGAAGAGCGACACACAACTGTGACTGATACAGAAACACACATGGAACAACAGTCATCTTTTTGCCTCTTTGATATGATTTTTATGTGTATTTGAATGCCTTCATAAGACAACATTTCATTAAAACTATAATATATCATACCAGCACTGCACATTTGTACACATTTGTATCACCAAGATGTATTTAAATCTACCTCCCTCATTATTTTGTTGTTTCCTTCTGCATATTAATTGTGTCATGTTTTGCTGAAGCTGTGGTTTTCTGTGTGGTCTGCATTTCCCCTCCTCCGCTGGCTGTGCGGTGCATTTTGTGGCGCTCCGGGCTGAATACTTGGGTTATAAATGGCCCACTAATAGCTTCCCATGAATCACCTACAGTGGTCTGCTGGGAGTAGTGCTCACATTAATGCGTGGCTATTTGACACCTCAATGAATAAAAGTGAACAGGAAAAAAAATGCTAAATAAGGGCCCTCCTCATAATTGGCGGCATTTGTCGCCCCCTCATTTGAATATCACAGGCTTTGTATGAACTTTCAAGGACATTTATGCCCTCAACGCCAGTTAGGTCTCTGAACCTGTACACTGAGAGGAGATACACATGGGTTTAAAAATCTGAATATTTGATGGGGAAATGATGTAACTGAAGCATATTTTCATGCTGTAAAGGACGCTGAAACTCGGGAGACGTCCTCAATCTGTTACCTGTATTTAAATTTTAATTCCCCAGGTGTGAATTACTTATAAAAGCTCCTAAATGTCCAGTTCCGGCGCGTACGTACCACCACCTGCAGGGCCTGCTGACTTCCTATCCGAGGGTTGTCTGTGGTCATCTGAGCGAGCGTCTGCTGCAGCGTCTTCGTCAGCAGCACCACCGACCCCACCATGGAAATTATACCAAACACCAGACCGCTGCTGAACCTGGGGAGAGGAATTATTGATACAACAGAGCGATCATTTCAAGCGGCCGCAATTTGGCCGATCTTTGCGGGCCTATAAATGTGATGGATGTATCTGAAAACCAAACAAAAAGCTTGCAATGTGAAAGCAGGAAAGGAAACCACGGGGTGAAGGATAAAGGTAAAGGATATATCAGTATTTTGGAAGACTTGCCCACTTGTCCATTAAGTAATGAGAAGAGACGCACGAAAATCATCACTTCAGCAAACATTATGGTGAGTGATAGCTGGCCACTGACAGCATGCCATAGAAAATGAAAGTAGTTTAGCAGCCCTACAGTTAAATAAGTAACCCTGAGTGGTGCTTTGACAATTGTAGTTTTGACTGGGACATTTGCATGTATTGTCTATAAGGCTGGGCACCAGTCAAATAATGCTAATACAGGCACTTTGGCATTGAAAGTAGTTCTGAAATAATATTTGTATGAATAATTATTTCATTTTACTACGGAGTCATATTATTTCCTTCATTTTGTTTGTGTTTATATTATATATATATACACACACATATATATATATATATATATATATATATTCTTTATTTGGCAAACTACTGTGCAAGCTTCTTGACTTCTTCTGTCAGATCTGTTTCACTTTCCTTATCTGTTTTAAATCTGATCTAATCAAATCTATGTAAGTGTAACATATAACAAATACAATGTCTATCATCTTAAAACATTAGTAATCAGTTAGCTTAAGTCAACCAAGGGGGAAATCTTCCAGAAAGATGGCATTTGTATGGAATCTTGAACAAGGAAAGTACAGAAATGGTACAGGAACAGTTCAGGTTAGGTGTAGTTTAAATATCAGTCCTCACCACAGGTAGAGGGCTCGGGGGTTGATGCGGGCGCAGTACGCAAACAGCCGGTTGAACATGGTGGTTTGCCATCTCACATGGAAAGGAGACAACATCAGCCCTCGACTCGCCAACCATGACTCGTATCTGATCCGGTGCGTCACTGACGACTGCGGGAGTCGACGGAAAAGTGGAAAAAGGTTATTACAATACCCAACTCAATGCATTCCTGGAGTTGAGTGTGTGATAAGTGGGTGTGGTTAGAGCCTGACCGATACTGGATTTGTTACGCCAATACCAATTTTTTAATTTTTTTCTTATACAAACACATATTCTTGTAACAGTGTTAATCATGTTACTGTTTCAAAATCACCTCAATATCTTTAGCATTTCTGTACTGCAAATTCTTGTTACTTATCATAACATAAGCTGATAGCAATCTGTGATATACTTTACTATACTATACTTACTATACTGTACTATACTATAGATGCCGGTGGAGCCAACATCCACTGAAATTGTCTGCCTGCCGATATATGTGTATGTGTTGTGCTCCAGCTGTGATTGACTGTTCCAGTATCCACAAAAGGCGAAAGAAATTCTTAACACCTTCCAAATGAATGTAATGATGCGGTGGGAATTATTTCGCTTTTTAAAGACCAAAACATACAGTGGGGAGAACAAGTATTTGATACACTGCCGATTTTGCAGGTTTTCCCACTTACAATGCATGTAGAGGTCTGTAATTTTTATCATAGGTACTCTTCAACTGTGAGTGAAGGAATCTAAAACAAAAATCCAGAAAATCACATTGTATGGATTTTAAATAATTAATTTGCACTTTATTGCATGACATAAGTATTTGATCACCTACCAGCCAGTAAGAATTCGGGCTCTCACAGACCTGTTAGTTTTCTAGAAGAAGCCTTCCTGTTCTCCACTCATTACCTGTATTAACTGCACCTGTCCACACACTCAATCTAACAGACTCCAACCTCTCCACAACGGCCAAGACCAGAGAGCTGTGTAAGGACATCAGGGACAAAATTGTAGACCTGCACAAGGCTGGGATGGGCTACAGGACAATAGGCAAGCAGCTTGGTGAGAAGGCAACAACTGTTGGCGCAATTATTAGAAAATGGAAGAAGTTTAAGATGACAGTCAATCTCCCTCGGTCTGGGGCTCCATGCAAGATCTCACCTCATGGGGCATCAATGATCATGAGGAAGGTGAGGGATCAGCCCAGGACTACACGTCAGGACCTGGTCAATGACCTGAAGAGAGCTGGGACCACTGTCTCAAAGAAAACCATTAGTAACACACTACGCCGCCATGGATTAAAATCCTGCAGCGCACGCAAGGTCACCCTGCTCAAGACAGCGCGTGTCCAGGCCCGTCTGAAGTTTGCCAATGACCATCTGGATGATCCAGAGGAGGAATGGGAGAAGGTCATGTGGTCTGATGAGACAAAAATAGAGCTTTTTGGTCTAAGCTCCACTCGCCGTGTTTGGAGGAAGAAGGAGGATAAGTACAACCCCAAGAACACCATCCCAACCGTGAAGCATGGAGGCGGAAACATCATTCTTTGAGGACGCTTTTCTGCAAAGGGGACGGGACGACTGCACCGTATTGAGGGGAGGATGGATGGGGCCACGTATCGCGAGATCTTGGTCAACAACCTCCTGCCCTCAGTAAGAGCATTGAAGATGGGTCGTGGCTGGGTCTTCCAGCATGACAACGACCCGAAACACACAGCCAGGGCAACTAAGGAGTGGCTCCGTAAGAAGCGTCTCAAGGTCCTGGAGTGGCCTAGCCAGTCTCCAGACTTGAACCCAATAGAAAATCTTTGGAGGGAGCTGAAAGTCCGTATTGCCCAGCGACAGCCCCGAAACCTGAAGGATCTGGAGAAGATCTGTATGGAGGAGTGGCCCAAAATCCCTGCTGCAGTGCGTGCAAACCTGGTCAAGAACTACAAGAAACGTCTGACCTCTATAACTGCAAACAAAGGTTTCTGTACCAAATATTAAGTACTGTTTTTCTGATGTATCAAATAATAATTAATTACTTAAAAATACAATGTGATTTTTCTGGATTTTTGTTTTAGTTTCCGTCACTCACAGTTGAAGAGTACCTATGATTATAAATTACAGACCTCTACATGCTTTGTAAGTGGGAAAACCTGCAAAATGGGCAGTGTATCAAATACTTGTTCTCCCCACTGTATTTGGGAATATTTCCACAGGTGACCAGTTTCTGGACAAATTTCTACCCTTTGTTTTTCTAAACTCGGCAGTGTTTGGTTTTTTTTTTTGGTTTTTTTTATTCCGCCTGTTGGTTTCAGTCATTCTGTTGCTACAGCAACCACTTTTCATGAGAGTTTTACTAACAAATTTGTGACCAAGCAAATATTGGCTGCCATCTTTTACCTACTCCCTGTGCTCGTGTGTTAACCACTATACTGAAGCTTTCAGGAGGAGCTCAACCTGCAATCATGTAGGCCTGCCTGCTCTCTGTCAGCATCTGATATAACCTATGAGTCAGTTAACAGTTTCCCATACATCAATATACGTATGATAAGGGCCTAATTTGATGCATTAAACCCATGATGATGAAGGTACAGTAAAAGAGCATATTTTAGATTTTAGAGACAACCCAGAATTTCAGCTTTTTTACAGGAGAGCGCGTGTCTGATTTACCTTTTTACATATTTTATTTGTTTCTTCTACTTCTGCCATGTAGGACAATGTCACTAAATGGACAGCAGTCTATACTTTTGTGAATCCTATTTATACGTTTAGTTTCTTAGTTACTGCACTTCATTTTACAACATATTTGTCTAACTTTTCTTCATAATATCTCATGTTTTCTCAGGTTGAAATCACTATCACTGAATTTGCGGCCCCATACCGTTATTATAGTACAGAATAGTTTCAAAATGACTTATAGTAAATACTAACCCCCCCCAAACTCTACATATATTATTATTTATTATTAGAAATGTGTTTATTGCAGCAGTAGCTCAGTGTGTAGGGAACCAGCTTGGGAACCGGATAGTCGCCGGTTCGACTCCCACAGACCACAGTATGCAGTGTGGACTGGTAGCTGGAGAGGTGTTACCTCCTGTGCACTGCCCAGGTGCCTTTGAGCAAGGCAACCTAACCCCTAACTGCTCCTAATGTATATAGTAATGTAAAAACAAAACAAGTCCCATTTCAAGTATGTAAAATGCTGTAAATACTGTATATAGTGTGACAATAAAAAGACTTTCTTCCAGCTGGGTTGGCTGCATTAATGTACACCACAGGAAGGTTACTTGTGTGCCTCTCATTTGTTCTTACATTAGATGGCGAACGATGAACAGAGCCATAATAACAGCAGACAAAGGGGGGGGGGTTGACATCCCTCAATCCAAACACACCATGTCGTGAGGCTGTTATGATGTATACTGAGGGCCACTGTTGGCTACTACTATTACTGTATCCCCCCCCGCCATAACCATTAAACACCAAAAACAAGAACTTATATTCACCCTCAGCAGTGTGTCGGTGAGATAGACAGCACACCAGCCTGCCATCACACACACCAGCAGAGGCACAGGGATCATAGTGCATCAGAAGAGCCTCCGCAGACAGAAAGAGCCGCACCGCGCCGCCTCCATCACTCCGCAGCTAACCGCGGTGGCACATGCTGACCACGGCCTGTAGATGAACGTTAGTAAATGTGAATATAGAGGAAGGTAGGGTTTCTAACGGAGAGGGTCTGGATGCTGAGAGCCGTCCTCAATGTGCGAGGAACTTCCGCGTTGGGCTTCTCTTCTTTTTCCTTTCTTCTTCTTCTTCTTCTTCTGTTTGTTTTTTTTTTTCAAACATCAAAACAAACGTGGCACTACCGCCACTCAGTGTTGAACTCGAGAACTTCCTTTAATAAAAAAATATTCAAGAAAGTTTTTTAATATTTGTTTATTATTTGTGAGAATGAAAATTGTTTGAATTTAAATCCTTGAATTTTTTTTTATTTTTTCTTTATCAATTAGACTAAAATATAATACATACTATTCCACACTCTCCACACAGACACACACATTAATGCTCCTTTCTTGTCCCAGTTTAATGTTACTAACCACACACACGTTCAGCTAACGTTACACCAGAGCTGTCAGATATGCTGCCTTCAAGTCCAGTGGTAAATGTGGAAATTATGAAGTTGAAAGGTGGAGAACAGAATTTGCAGAGACAGTAAGCTCTGGTAACTGAATTGAATTTTCTAATGCATTTTTATGTCCATGATGCATTTGATGTAAAGTATAATAATCAAAGTGCAATTCAAAGATAGAATACAATAATGTTACAATAATTGATATATATCTATGGACAGAGAAATCTCCCTGGGCTGAGCGTTTAAAATTGCAAGTTTTGTAAATTGAGTTACATTATACTGCAAAAGAGTTTAGTGGTTGTGTGAAAGAAGATGTGCACTCAAATGATTCTTTTTATCTGTTTCACCGAGAAAGCTGTGTCAGTGAATCGTAGTGAAGCAGTCATCGGCAATGAAATTCTTAGTCCTCAGGCTCTCTTCAACAATGTTCATAAAATAAAAAGAAAAGTGAAAAGGAGAATCTAGGACATAAAGACATACCATACTGCAGTAATATATACGAATATACAACATAAGATGCTGTAGTAGACAGGTGGACAGTAATGAGAAAGAAAGAAAGAAAGAAAGAAAGAAAGAAAGAAAGAAAGAAAGAAAGAAAGATTTGCAACTTGATTTTACCAAGAGAACATAAAGCCAGCACTAGCCCCTATAATGGAGCACAGAAAAATCGATCGGGTGATTGCAGAGCTACTTTGGCTGAGCTGCAGCAATAAAAAAAATTGAAAGTGTGAGTCTGGATATTGGATTTCATCTGACCAAAAGGTCAGGAAAGTAAAAGGACACCAATAAATGTTGATGTTCTGACTCAGATGCAACCAGGAAACAAGTTCCCAGTCTGACTCATTAAGCCATAAATGTGACCAAGGGAACATAAAACTGCTTGTGGATAAAGCCTCATGTGTGGATGCTTTTCACATCAATATTGCCACAACTGACACAGAGCCTCCAGCAAATCTTTTATTTCAGTAATGTAAAGACTCACGCTAGAAATTTCCAGTCTGTTTACTCATTGTCAGTCGGTCACACGAATGCTCACAACGAACGTGAAATATTTGTGGCGATCCTGACAACATGAGCAGCTTGAGCAGACAAACAGGACATATGCCCTCATGTATACATGTGGCCTCCAACTTCCCATCTCCTGCCAACTAAACAGCTGTTCACGGACACAAACTGTCAGACAGTAAAATCTATTTCCTGATCTCTGATGAAAACAATCACTCATCAGAGGAAGGAGATTCAGTTGACTGCAATAGTTAATCTAGCATTGACTATCATCACTGCATGCCTCATTTTGTATTACCTTATTTAAATTCTAATCTTAATTCTATCCAAACTCATCCACTCCCAAACTTAAACTGACCCCCCGCCCTCCAAGTTAAAGTCTGGCCTCAAAGAGCGTGCCCTGGTAGCTCACCTGGTAGAGATGGTTCCCCATGAGCCTTTGCTGCAGTGTCAATGTCAATGTCAGGCTGAGCCACAGCTAGATTCACCTGCTGTGGGCCATGCGGCAGGTGAAGCACACTTACTGTGTAAATAGGAAGATTATTTTTGTAAGTAGAATGGTTGGACCATACAGTATATATACAGGATTGAGTTGAGGGCATTGTTTTGTTGTTGTTTTTTTGTTTTGTTTTGTTGTTTAGGTGAAACATGGAGCTCTGGAAATCTGCTAGGACTAATACTGCTCTTCATCTTTACACCTCAGCGCTCAGGGTCACTATCCTGTGTCTTCACCAACATCCTTACTGCCCCTTCACCCCTATTTCTCCTAGTCTCTTTGTTTATGTGCCCAGGCATCATGTACAGCGTACAGACTATGCATGGGAGCTTCATATATTAGGTTTACTGCGTGCTTATAGGCCAAAAACATGTCCAAACACTGCCCGTGTCCAAGAATTCACCCATTTTATCTAATGCTAGAACTTACCTGCAGATCAGCTTCAGACTACTGCAATTTGAGTGCAGCTCCTACCTTCGTATGTTGTTATTTTCTACTTTATATCTTACTGCAAAACTTCAGCTAGAAGCAACAGCAGGGCATTCAACTGCAGCATGTTGTTAAATACAATAAACACATTCAGTGATTAAGGTGTTTATCTGTAAAAGGCCAGGGCTGTCCTCGCCAACAGGTGAGACCAGTGTGAGTGTGGGCTGTATTTGCATAGTCTGAAACATATAACAAGCCTACAGTTCAAGCCTGTTCATTTTACTACCTGGGCACACAGTAGATTAGTGAGACTGAAAAGGGTCATTGGGGTTTGATGTTATGAAGGTGGACAACTTCATTTGAGGAGAAGCTGTGGAAAATCCAGAGAGAAAAGTAGGTAGAAACACACACACACACACACACACACACACTCCAAGAGATGTAGAGACAGACGAGAAAACATATATATATATAGACAGAAACACAGATATACACACACACACACACACAGGCTGAAAACTCATTTTACTTCTCATGATGGGTCGGATTCCACTCGGGGAGGAGTTCCGTGTGTCTCCGAGCCAATCAGGGCGAGCGGAAACAGGTCAGGTAGCCGAAGAGGACCTCAGAGAGAGCGCAGGCAGGGCAGAGCAGCCACGCACGGCAGGAGGTAAGAGAGCACACACACATTCACACACACACACACACCTTTAACTCTGTGAGAGCACAGTTCCCCTCTGGGCCTGTGGATGTGCATCAGCGTTTGAATGTAGACATACCAGCATAACCACTTACGTGAGTGTGTGTGTGTGTGTGTGTTTGAGTGATTGTCAGAGCAGAAATAGGGCAGTGCCATTTTAGTCACTAAGATTAGGAGGGGTGTTTTGAGGACTCAAGTGTCAGGATTTGAAGAAGATAGAGCAGAAAATGTCCATACTCGTCCACTGTCCATTATAAACATTTGTGAATACCATAGAATCAGACAGGTTTGTGTTTGAGTGTTTCATGCTTAAATGCTCAATTTTTTGAATGAAGTTTGGTCTTGCAGTTAAATTAGTTTAGTCATCAGAACATTGCACTGTAATTGTAGAGTATAAAAAGCTTTAAAAAGATGTGTAAATCAAAGAAATCCAAGAGCTTGGTGCTGCTGTTTGACAATGTTTTGGTCCGTCACAGTGTGTGTCCATGTGTGCCTAAGAGTGTGTGAGTGTGTGGATAGAAAGCAGGTCCCTTCTGTGTATCACTCTTCTATTTATAGTGAGAACAAATCCCAGATATGAGAGGAATCCTTCTACCACTTACGAGGCGAGAGAGAGAGAGAGAAAGAGAAAGAGAGAAGGCGGAGTTGAAAAGAAAAGAGAAAGAAAAGGAAAGAGATGGAGTAGGTGAAAACAAGTGTGTGAGAGATGGATAGAAAGTGTAAGTGAACAAGCGAGAGAAGTCCCGGTGTGTAAAACCAAGCATTAGACGATACATTAGTCTGTCATCAACAGGTAAGTTATTGCTTTGTGTGTGTGTGTGTGTGTGTGTGTGTGTGTGTGTGTGTGTGTGTGTGTGTGTGTGTGTGTGTGTGTGTGTGTTTGAATGGCAGGTAGGTTTAGGCTACTAGTGTATTTAATGTAATGTATCAGCGTTGTGTAGTTGTTAAAAGAAGCAGTCTAGAATAATCTACAGGAACATTCTTCAGTGTTTAGCAACAGAGAAATTAAGTGTAACTTTATTATAGGCTCCAAAAGGTATGTGCAAATTTTATTTTGAAAAGGTAATTTTTTAATTTCTTATCATCAACAAATCTTTGTCTGTCTCTCAGTACTTTCACGTTTCCTTCGCTGTCTGTGGCACTCAGCCCCAATGCTTATTGGCTCCCACTTAAGTGAAAATCCTCAAAGGACTGGTTTAACGCAAATTAGATTACTTGTTGAGAGTTACATGAGAACAATGGCAACAATCTAATTTCCGTACTAAACATGAAGCTCGAGCCAGGACACAACTTGTTGTGTAAATTTCAGTATTTGTAAAGAACCAACAAAGGAGACGTAACTAATTAGTTAAATTAGGTCACAAATATATAATTTTGTTATTTTTTACAGAGCAACAGTGTGGCTTATTTATGTGTTTTTGAACAACAATGGTAAAGGAATAAGTTATATTTAACTTATGTAAGGCTCTGGCTGCCCAAAGCTACAGTACAGTTCGTTGTTGTTTTTGCTCCTTTCACAGGATTTGTTTACAAGGAAACAAGACTACTATTACTTTAATATGCCAATGTGCTTAAAATGACAGTGTTGACATGCGGATGTTGATGATGCATATTATATTTTTGTTCACCATCTTAGTTTAGCCCAGTAGCATGCCAACATTTGCTAATTAGCACTAAAACCTAAAGGTACAGCTGAGGTTGGGAGTGTTATTAGTTTTGCAGGTATCTGATTGGACATAGTGCGGACAAATTGAAATTCTGACCTGATTATGGAGCTAGATGAAAAGTTAAGGGGTCACCAAAGTCATCTCTGAGGACCATGAATATCCATAAACATGCCCTATAGACCTTTTTTCACAGCAGCCATTTTGACATGCAATAGTAGGGTAAACACAGGTGTTACCAATGATCCTAATTAAGGTTCGGTTCCATTCAGGTCAAACAGCATAATTCATATCATTGGTCACACCTGTGTTACACATCATACATACCTCAAAGGGCTTTTTTGTTCGGTGTCTGCACAGAGCCTTAAATGGTTTCAATGTTTGA